CCTTTTAAGCCACTTATAAAACACACTAATTACATGTTCAAGTATTTATCTTAGACGTCTCCTCTTTGCATTTGAATGTAGATCAGCTAATATTTTATCCCAAGTGGTAACCCTCCTTCATGTTTTAAATCTAACACATAGTGAATAGTGAAATGAAGCTTGACTTTAAATTATATCACAAATTGAAACATCTGCCTGAAAAATTGCAATCGAATATCTCCCCCTTAGCCCTAGTATACAACAGACTATTTAGAGAGTGATCAAGTTACTACAAGTTTGAAATATAAACCTATTTCTTCTCCGCTGGTAGCTCAAATGTAATGATGAATAAAAATGTTTTAATCACAACATTCACAGCAGAGCGATGTCAGTAAATGTCCTCTAACAGACCTCAACGTGCAAATGCCCAGTTTTCCATCAGTCTAAAAAGGCATAGACTCTGGTAGATATTCAGATTGATATAGCTTTTAGGAAAGTTATTAGTTACTTTGTGGTTCATCACCACAATGTGCATCACAAATCCTATTAGTAACCAAACATAAGACATGATCCACACATTTAAGATTCAGGGTCACATTTTCCAATGACATCATTATTCATGTAAAGTCTATCTCAAACACATGTCAGTAAGTCTGCTTACAAATCATAGAACATATATTTTTAATTGACATAATTTGCCAGAGAATCATTACGTTTTCTTGACTGTCTGAGTAATCCAGTGGCCCATGGGCATATAGAAAGAGAGAACTGGAATACACTTAGAGAAGCAAGTGTGTCAAAATGTAAACCGAGCTTAAGGTGCAGCCCACTAAATATACAGGAACACTGAAGTTCCTGTTTCCATCTCTGAGGGGCACCACTGTCTACTGATCTTTGAAAAAAAATGTTCAAGCTTGACCACTGGAGGTTCTGCCGGCTTCAGACAGTAACTGCAGCACATAGCAGGTACTGAAGCCCAGTCCTCAGAGGTCTAACAGGAGGATTCACCTGCTGCTGGTTCCATGTAATCTACCTTTCATCTGTCTCTCACAGTTCTCCTGCTCTCCTCCATCTGTTAAGCACCCATCTGAGAGGGCAGTCAAACATCAAACAGAAACATGCTCCCCACAAAACATCAAAAACTGACCCTCTCCTTAATGCTGCGGCCGGTCTGCCTCTGCAGAATCACAGGCAACATACGCTTTTACTTCCTCTGTGATCCTGTTTCTGGTCTTCGGGGGGAAGTAACCAAGAGATCTGATGGTTTCTACTTTCACGACTGATCAGAGGTATTTATGACGAGGTGGGGAAGAAGGAAAGTTTCCACTATGGCCACTAGAAATAATCTTTTATCACTGGCTACCTGAGGGTGGACTACGAAGCAGGTTCAACATCGCCAGGATGCATTAGACGTCTCGACAAAACCTCAAACCCCAGAGATAATAGGTGACATGCTGGGGTGGGAGGTGAACACAGGTTTTCTCCACCAGGCTCTGTGTGCGTTCCTACAAAATCATTTAACTCTTCTGCACAAAATGGACTTATACATGCCGCCTGCTTTAGTCAAGAGGATCTGGTTGATATAATGGAGAGTTATGAAGGATATGAAAGTACATGATGGTAAAAAGCACTGTCAGAGCAAACGTTGCAAGAGAGGAATGCTGCTTGCAAACTGTTCATGAGTTAATAATCATTTTACCACTCAGTGCACTCTCAATGCCTGCTGCTCATTTCCTTACACAACAGCTGCACATTACAGCTCTTATACTTCACACATTTAAACATGATACTCCAGAGGTGCATCTAGGCCTGACCCTGTCCCACGTATCCTTTATCACGATAAAGGATACGTGGAAATAGCAAATCTAAGTGAAATTACTTGGCAGTAAATCAGGAACAAGCAGAAAAACATTTTCGCATGTTCTGCATCACCAGCTGAATGCGTATGTTTTCCTGGCAACGTGATACACTTTGTGCTGCTAGAACTGCACACCGTTGTTTAGTGGGATTACTAAGATACTGCTATATATATATATATATATATATCTCCATCCATCATCTATACACCGCTTAATCCTCATTAGGGTCGCGGGGGAGCTGGAGTCTATCCCAGCCGACTTAGGGTGAAGGCAGGAGACACCCTGGACAGGTCACCAGTCTATCACAGGGCTACACTTAGAGACAGACAACCAAGCACACTCACATTCACACCT